CAGCTCCAGGGAAGTGCTCCACTCCCCGGCCCTGATGCAGAGGAGTGGAGCACTTCCCAGGAGCCAGCAGAACCCGCATCAGCCCCTGGCTCTGGCCCCTGGCCCTCGTCTCCAGCCTCTGGTGCCCGCCTCCAGCCTGAGCCTCTTGGCTCCAGCCCCCAGCTCCAGCCTCTGGCCCCCAGCTTCCTTCAGTAAGTGTCCAACGCCGGACCAAGGCAGCGCGCTCGCGGACCACTACTCCTTACAGGGAACATTGGTCCCCGGACTAATCCTTGAGAAACTCCAGATAAAATCCAGCCCTGATCTCCCTATCAGTACTATCTATTGTTGCCATCTGCATTTTATCCCATTCCATATTCATTTGACATTTTTCATCATACTAATCCTCATCTCCTTCTACATGACTCAGAATTCTCTTCCACACCAAATGTTTTTCCAAAGTTCCATAGAGTTACCGCATTTCCGTTGTCAGTTATCTTATCAAAGGAAGACAATGAGTCTCCCTGATGCAGTCTATCTTTGATAAACTGGGCTGCATTCTATCTTATTTTCTCCTTACCTCCAAGTCTTTAGACTGTGTTAAGACTGCCCTGTTCTTCCAAACAATTAAAAGAAACAACAACAACAATTTTTGAAACTAAAATGAAGGATTGTCTAACCAAGGCAAAATGAAATTTGTAACAGCAAATCATGAGCAAGTTTAAGTCAAATGCAAAGCCTGCTAAGGTAATAAGCATGCATTTAGGTATACATACCATATATTCGCAGCTTGCCAACAAATTTTCCCACATCAAGATTCAAGTGACTTTCTATGAAGTTCTTTATAAAACTGTTTTGCAAAGCTTCCTAGAAACAAGAAATATGATTTACAATACAATGCTTATACTATTCACCTGTGCTGGAAGTATATATTGACTCACATTTAACACCCTCCTCAGCCATGGATTTCTCACATGATCTTGGCACAAGTCACTGGGCCACTTTCTAGATGGTAAATTTTCCATCCATGGCAGGGATGCCCTCAAGCAAGCTGCACTTCCTAAACAGCACTTCTTGCAGCACTTCAGGCAGGTTAATTAGCACTGATGAGATATAGGGCCAATTAGACAAACAAAGACAATATAACTGCCTATGGCACCATTCGGATGTTGTTGCACTGCATCTGGCATACGGGACAGCTCATGAAGACTTGCCTAGTGTGCTCAAGGGTACCAATAGCAGTCCTAGTAAATGTACCATGCTGTAAAGGGTGGATCCAGAGAAAATGTGGCAGCACAGTCACACCCCCTGTGGCTGTACTGCACAAGAGCTCTTAGCATGGGGTCTGGCTGGAGTCCCTGCTTTCATGTGGCTCTGGAGCCCAAGGGATAAGCACTGCCCCCAGAGCAGCCGGGGTTTGGGGGCAGTGAGAGCATCCCTTCCAGGAAGAGGGAGAGATGGCAAGGATGAACAGCAACAGTGTTCACCCCCAGGTTCCAGAACCAGGCAAAAGTAGGGACTCTGCCCAGACTCCTGCCCCCATCTAGCTGGTCAACTTAGAGTCCACTGCTCATGTGAAGACCCAGCAGAAACTTGCACTGATTAGGCATTAAGCTCAGAGCTCGCTACACATGCATGGAAAAGCCAAAGTGGGTGGCAGGGAGGCCTCATCCTCCCTGCCCTGTTCCCGGATCTGTTACTGCAGGTGGTCACAGCCTTCATCTTCCTATGATCAGTTCTTGACATGGGAAATGGAATTAACAATGTTTTCCTACTTCACAGATGTGTTGAGGATAAATTTAAAGAGTGTGTATGTATGCACATGTATACACATACCCACCGCCCCACCAGAGATTTTAACATGTTTTATAGGAAGGGTGGGGCTTTTAAGATCAGCTATGGGTTTCCGGAAAAGGAGAAAATTCTCCTTTTGTTCTATACCCAAACATTTCCTAGTGAACTGTTTCTCCAGTAAGTGTTAGGAGCCCCTAATCCTATGTATAATAAGGCAACCATATGTCTCAATTCAAGGAGACTGAAGGTATCATAATTTTTATATAAATATACACACACCCACATATAATTTATATATATAAATCTTGCCCTATCGAGAAAGTCTCAGAGCAGCTTACAATAAAAGATGACCAACCCACTAGATAAGAAACAAATTCTCCAATTGACACCCTAAATCTTAATAACTCCATTCCAGCCTACCCACTTCCCTGCCTTTTACCAAGTACAGCAAACTGTCCAGCCTACCCCAACTGATTCCCCAAATTCCTTTCAAAGTACACAGCAAAGAATTAAGACATGAGTAGATGTACCATATTATGTAGGATTCTTCATATTCTATACAATGAGTTCTTTCAATTTCCCTCTGTCTTTTTACACAGAAGTACATTTTCTTCTTTCAATATAGCATTAGATACACATACTGGTCATACCACAACCAAGGCTAAAAGGGTGATAGAAAGCCTTTTTTAATGTCCACTATAGGAAATTTGCTTTAAAAAAATCAATTTTCAAATTCAACATTTTAGATCCCAACGTATGGCATTAGTGGCTCCAGAAGTAGAAGTAATGGAGCCTTAAAATAAGTAGTGCCCTTCACAACAAGGTGCAGTTAAAAAGATTCTACATTACAGTTATTATAACAGACTTGGAAGCACCACTGATTAAAACCTCTTTTATGAGCAATCTAATCCTCAACACTTTACAGCATTGTTGGCTTCAATGGCCACCCCTTATAATTCCTACAAGTCTGACATAGCCAAAGTATAAAATCTTCAAGACAACAGACTAATCATCCAACGACAGGAAGAATCTAAGACAATTATTCAATGCTAGAGGAACAAATCTTTCGATTACTCTCATGGGTCCAACTCAGTCTCCCTTTTTGTACTTAGGTACATCACACGTTCCCAATAATATAAGTAGTCTATCATTTGTAGAGAATAGTTTCTCCATAGCAAAAACATTCTGAACTTCAGAAATAAGAGTCTGAATGCTAAATACCATGGGATTTTGATTATTTTTCTTCTATGTCCTTTTAAATTACCTATTAGTATTCAAATGATTTAGAAGACAGCACCAGGAGAACTATTTCTATTTTATCACAAACTACCTAACCATTCTGCTTACTCAAAATAGAATGTACATCATGCATTCTAAACTATAATTGCTTCACAAAGCTGGAAAATAACCCTGCTTGTACTAAAGGTAATTCTTCTTATATCTAGTCTTGGTTGACTTTGTGTAAGTAATGATTTTTAACAAGTAGTCTAAGCCTGTGGAGATCTAAATCATTAGATAAGACTGCATGTAGTTTTTCTAACCTAGGTAGCCTGTAATTTAAAGAAAATAAAAAGAACACTTCATGATATTTTTCTCGTGTTCCTACCATGGCATTAACTATCTCTCTATATATTTGATACTCATATGGCCCCCATCTCCATAGTATCTGAGTGTCTTAAAATCTTCTGTCCATCTTTCCTTATAGCACCCTTGTAAGGAAAGTAAATCCTATAACTCCCATTTCACAGAAGGACATCTCCATGGCAGCACAAGTCAAGAAAATGCCCACTGGTCTCTTAAATCTTTGACTTCCACCTTGACTTCAGAACCATCGCTTCTCTTGGGTCCCAGTCTGCTTCTTACAGTGCAGGAGCCCACATGTCCATTAGTAAACCCTCCTGTGACTTAGGTGGAATTATTGACAGAGTAATTCACGCTGAATGCTGCCTGAATAACAGCAGCAGACACTTTAAAGAAACAGGCCATATCCATGCATAGTGACTAACCACA